TTCAAATCTCAAAAGATAAACAAAATGACTTTTGCTATTCGTGGTTGAAATCGTTTTAAATTTTACTTTAAAATTAATCTAACGGCTAATATTAACACCTTAAATTTAATAGAAAAAATACGCCCTAAAGATGTGTTTGGAGTGACTTTTTTAAAGTACTTTAAAAATTATTTCTCATAAATATTTTTTAAAAAATAGTGTTTGAAACAACCCGCTACCACTGCCACTGCCACCGCCACCATCATCACGACCACTACCACCACCACCGCCGCCGCCATCGTTGTCGTCGTCGTCACCACCATCGCAAGCACCGCCACCACTGTCACCCCCACCACCACCACCATCACCACCGCCACTGCACGCCCACCACCACCACCCTCACCCTCATCCCCACCACCGCCACCATCATTGTCGCCATCACGCTCACTACAAACCGATGCATAAATTTCTTTAACTATTTTTTTTGTTTGTGATTTAATTTTGGATATGAATACAAATATGTTTATTATTTATTATTTTTTATTACACTGTGTCTTTAGGCACAGGCAATAACTAGTACTATAATATTATAAAGAAATATTTGTAAACAAATCTTCTGGTTAAATGTTGGTTTAAATTTCTTTAATTGGTCATGTTCATTTATGGACACATCATGATGAGACGATATTATATATATTTTTAATATAAAAATTACTAATTTTGTTTACTATTATTAAATATTTATTTAAAATTATTATTTTTAATTCGTTAAATAATAGTAAAATATAAATATATATTTTATTATAGACATATCCTAGTAATATCCACATCAAAAAAAAAGAAGTAATATTCACATCCTATTAGTTTTGTATTATATTCAAATCCATATCCGTCCTTCCCGGATTAAATCACCTTACATATTCTGGTAGACAAAGAAAGTGACATCTAGATGTTAATATCTGCGTCCGAAAGAGGTTCAGACCCAAGACACTCCATCTAGAAGAATAAGAAGTAGGCTAGTTATTGGGCTCCTCTGTCTTAAATGAAGCCCACAACACATTAGTCTGACTGGGCTCCGATTCTAATTTGCTGGGCGTGAAATATAAGCCTAAATAGGTTCACCAACTACATTGAAAGGGCCGAAAGGTCCACAGCTCCACAACAATTTTCTCAAGGGCGGCCCATTGATAATTTCCCTTCACTATTTTTAAGGGAACAACTCCTAAGAAAAAATGATATTTAATATGGAGAAAGCTCTAGCATGCTTACATGATGTGCATGATTTGTGAACAATTTATGTGTTATACTCAAGCGCCTAATAAAGGATTATAGTTGGAACCATGCATTTCCGTTCCTAACAAGAAAAAATATTGATGTTTTCTCATTCTCCCCTTAACTATTTGAATCATCTCCTCTTTACAGCTATTATGATTTATTAGGATTATTGACGTGATAAAGTTTACGTCAATAACAAATCACACATACACGATTGATTTGTATATTTGAGTGACTACTTCATCTATTCTCAAGCGATTTCGGGTTAAATGCTTTACTACAGGGTGCTAGACTTAGGCCTTGGGGGGCTGGAATCTCTCACTCATTTGAATTCAGTTCAGCTTGTCCGTGTTTGGTTGAGCTCCATAACTTCAAGCATGTGTACAAGGGATCAATCTTCTCCAGTTTAAGCACAATACTCCTATTGTGGGAGAAATTCTCATCAAAATATTCCTTTTCCTTTGGTTATTTCTCTTCATAAACGATACAAATTTCCAAAAAAATATCAAAAGAATGTCTCCGAGGAAACATTAATATGTTGTACGATCTTTATTTACAAATTAATCCGTTTCTTTTCTCTAAATATTTTTGTTTTTCGTGAGTTGTACTATCTCTCTTTGGTTATTGATTCATCAAAGACTATATGGTGAACCGGTAGCTCAAGGAGTAACAAGGACGAATTGTAAAATTAAACGTCCTGAGTTTGAATTTTGGTAATTCGTTGAGGTCAGGTCATCAGAAATTTATTCCTCATGAACATCCTAGTCTCGACGTGAATGACCTGTCTTTAACGAGACCAAGGAAAGGATTAGGCAAGAACACGAAAAGAGTTACTTGTGGTCAATTCAAATAAGGCTCAACTCGAGCTTGAGTTGTGTTCTGAACAAGTTGAATTTAAATAATTTTTTAAATTTGTTTAAAGAAACGAGCCTAAAAAACTCAGCTAGAGTTTGTAAAGTTTGACTCGTTTATATGTAAAATAGTCGAGTTACTCGGACTCGGCTCGAGCTCGGGCTCAGTTCATTTTCTAAACAAGTAGAGTTTGGATAATTTTTTAAGTTCGTTTAGAAAAACGAGCTTGACAGGCTTCGGCTTAAACTCACAGAGTTTGGTTCAATTAACACCCCTAATCAATGGTGATGATATTACTGAATCAATAATATTGATATTTCACAAAAATTATTTGTAGGAGTCCTCAAAACTTAAAAACACTTGAAAGTTGAATTAAACTACTAATCATATGGAGATTACTAAGAATGAAAAATTGCGATAGAAGCAATTGAAATCAAATTACATGAAATTTAGAGTTTAACTAAAAAATGGACAAAAATCGAATTAGGATTTTATGTAATAAATTACAAATATTATAAATCTTCAATAAAACGAGAGAAAAAAAAAAGCTAATTTCAAAGCCTAAACAGTCGAATTAGATGAAAAACAACGTATGTCATGAAAATATGATAAGTATTGATTTTTTTTCCCGATTCAAATCAAATGGCACTAACAACGCTCTGTGTCAACTTGATTGACCGTTTTCCTATTATTTTTATTTTGTCAATTTTCATTGTAATCTAGATGCATGATAATCTTTTCACTTCAAAAAAAACAATAAAGTCATTGACATTGCTCCATTTCAACTTGATTGTCCATTTTTTGCTATTTTTACTCTGTCAATTTCCATTGTGATCAAGATGCACCACAATCTTCCCACTTGGAAAAAAAAAAAAAAAGAGAAAGTCATTTGTATGAATGCCTTCGAATATATGCAATGTCTAGGACTCTGACAAATAGTCTGTGGCTCATTGGGCCGTACCTCAGTTTATGGCTCGATTGAATTAGCAGCGGAGCCAAAAATTTAGTTTAAGGTTGACACTTTAATTTTAAATTTTAATTAATATTTTTAATCAATAAAAATATAATAATAATAAATTTATATTTGTTTCAAAAAAAAAATCATTTAAAAAATTAATTGTAGGCCAATTACAATTAATTTCAAGTTTAATTAAGAGTACAATAAAAAAATCATAAATTATATCCAAAAATATAGTAATCGCTAGACAAATTAAAGACTACAATAAAATAAAATAAATTAATTAAACCAAAAATTAAAGACTGGTTGAAGTTCATAATTTAGAAAAAAAATATCGTTAGACAAAGATTATGAGTAAAGAGATGCTAAAAATTAGTAAAAAAAATCATGGACAACATTGTTATCATCTCTTGGGATTTCAAATGTTTTTTTTACTTTATTTTATGAACATGTTTCTTATATACTTATAAAATAATCTTATATTTTATTACATAATAATCCTACTTTTTATTCAATATTTAAAGAAGCTCATAATTTTTTGTAAAAATTTTTTACAAAATGAGTTTCAATATGTCCAAAATATATCTAAGCATTTCTGAAGCGTGTCTGTAATATGCTCAGTAATTTTGTGTTAGCTTATACAAAAAATATTAGGGTAGGTACAATAAAATTATTTTTAAAAAATTTAACAAAGTGATATATGTACATCAATAAAAAGAATTTTCAAAATTTGAGGGTGGGCCTAGCCCACCCCCCCCCCTCCCCGCCGTAATGTCCCTCTGCCACTGGATTGAACCATGGATCATAGTTTTTTTTTTTAATGGACTAGCCCAACATTGCCTGTTGAGCATACTTCTCTTTTCTATCCAGCTTACCAACTATTGATTTTGCTGAAATTCCTGGAACGGAGAAAAAACGTCGTTTCAATTAGAGAACATACTTCTTTTTTCTACTTGGCTTGCCAACTATTGAGCCTTGTCTAGGAAAATTATCTAATAATTAAAGAATTTTTTAATTTATTTTTGAATGATGAAGATCTGCACACACACACACATTAATAAATTCTATTTATTTGAGTTTATTAAAGGTTAAGAAAAAATTTATTTACGTGGATAAATCATAAATATTTTTTTAAAAAATTAAAAATCCTCCAATTAATTAGAAATCGAGGAACAACAATCATGCTTAGGCTGTGAATGGTGTTTTGCCGTATTTATTTGCTATTCATCTCACAGTGATCCGCAATGATGAAAGCATTATATAAGCCCCGGATTCAATTACATGTTCATGTTCAAAAAAATAAAAATAAAAATAAAAATCAGTTACATGTTGTTTAGCATTGTTTTTGAAAGAAACATGACAACCATTTTAAGATAATGACGTTCAAACTGTATCTCAATTTTACATACATACAGAGAGGGCAAACAGGGAGAGGGAGAGGAGAGGGAGAGAGGAAGGGCGAGAAGAGAGAGAGATCAAATTATTCATTGTGCTCTTCTCTGTTGAAGCATTATCCTCTTTTATGAGGTGTCAGTGGACAACAACATTGCTTAACCAATAATACAATTTCATGATCCATTCAATCATTAGAACTTCTAACAAAAATTAAGTCAATATACTTGGAGTTATACAATTTAAGCACAATGTATAATTACACTCTCCATATTCGAATATGGGACGATCGAATATGGGTCTATCACTCTTAGAAGAATGACCACAGTTGTATTACGAGGACCTCTTCCTTGCCTTTCGTACAAATGTCAGAGGGTGTGGATGACAATTAACTTTAATGGTAACTGCATACTTGACGTTTGAATAGTAATTTTTAATGTAGTAAAGATGAAACGATTGATCGCAATCACTACAATGATAGATTCAATGGTTAAGGTTTATTTCTTCTTCGCACGTTTCACAATAAAATTCTTCAGGATAGTCACTAAATGGGGATAGCACAGGTTGAGGGGATGTCTGTCCCATACGCGCCTGATGGTACGTGGGAGTAGAGTATTGGTGTGAGATATTTTGAACTTGCAATCATCACATTCAGATGCGCTTGTAGAGAAGTAGAAACCACTTCCTTTGCAGATTTTTTTTGATTTTGAACATTTCATTTGTTTTAGTGGATGCTTGTGAGCTTGATGTACAATCCTAGTAGGTAGGGAAGCACATTTGACATCAAGGAAGAATAGACATTTTTGCACTCATAGAAGAATCCATTGGTGTACGTGTAACAAGCACTGCACCAAAAGACCTTGCAGAATTTACTACCAATACAAAGTTTCATTCAGTGTTTATGGTCAATTGGGTGGTGCATTTCTCCAACTTGTAAGTTCAAGCGGCTTAAATGGAGAAAATAGTTACATTTACCACAACTGTAAAACTGAAATAATATAGGATATACGCAACCATCACATAATATAATCTCATCCATGATATCATCGTCTTTTTGCACATTAAAAAAGATTAATGGATGCTCATGGCTCCCATGGATGAGCTGTGCCTCTCTCTCAATATCTTCAAGATTGGTAAGTTTATCAAAATATCTAATTACCATATCTAAGGAATCATTGGTCACTGGTAAGGGTAGTAGATTAGGGTCGGTTAATTGATCAACTTCATTCTCACTTTCACCACTTCTGAAACCATAAAATTTCAAACAAAAAATTAACTCAACAATAAAAATTAACGTAAAATACTGGTAGATGCAGGTGAGAGGGTGACGGTGATAACGACGATTGATAGTTTTAGGTAACAAAAGACAACTCTTATAGACCAAGAATTGACAAGTCAAACTTAGACAGGACATGTCTTTATGTTCCATGTGGCAAACTTCACAAAGGAAAGAGGTTGGCCTAAATAAGAGGGCTAAAGGGTGCTCATGAACTTCATGTGTAATCACACTTTCAGCCATGAAACATGATATGCAGATATTAAATTGGCAAGGAGAACAATAATAGTTGAATCGATCTTCATTTTCTACACAGATATTACAAGTATACACACTAGCATACCCATAACCATAAGGCGAACTTGCACGGAGGGTTAGAAGGTGCTTGGAATGTGTGGTGTGTTTTTGGGAGAGTTCTGCACAACGTTTATGTTATTCAACAAAACAAAAACCATATTGAGAATTTTATGACTTTGACAGTGTAAATTGGAAATCGAAAAACCTTTCAAGGTACAAATTATAATTTTCAACCAATACCCCCTAAATTATCATATGCACAACAAGTGGTATTTTCTATTGAAAATTAGACAACAATTACTAACAAAATTAAGAGGTAGAAGTATAAAACATGAGGGACAAAAAAAAAACTTGAATAACTAGTGGATCCTTGAACCTAATTTATTGATTTGATTCATCACAGTCAGTAGATTAATGAGCAGCAAGTCTCAAGTTTGGACGAAATATATTATCAATCCAACGATTATAGTAGATTAAACCAATAAATTAGATATGAATAACATTATTTTTTTGAATTTCAATTACTAACTAGGACAAATAATATTGGACTATTCCACTATGGTCTTGATCTCACATTTTTTTTTTTTGAACTATTGAAGTTTTCACATTGTCCCCTTGACTCCTTGAATCATCTCCTCAAATACAAAACTAGAATATGTTTTAGACAAAAAAAAATGTATATTTGCCAATAGACAACTTTTTAGCAAATTTGCAAAAATGTTAATTGGTAGGATAATACGAGATAGAGCCACAAGTGAGGGGTCATAGTGTGATTTTCTCTATAACACAAGGACAATTTTTGGATTTGTTCAGTGTGGTCTTCTCTGTTCAAGCATTATCCTCTTTTTATGGGGTGTCAATAGACTACAACATTGCTTATCCAATAATACATATCCATATGAGCAAAAAAAATAACAATAATAATACATATCCATGATCCACTAAAACATTAGAATTTCTAACAAAAGTTAAGTCTAAATATTCGAAGTAATACATTTTAAGCATAATGTATAATTGCACTCTACACATTCAAATATGGGTTTATCACTATCAGAAGAAGCACCACAGCTATAATACGAGGACCTTTTTCTTGCCTTCCGTACAAATTTTAGAGTGTGTGGGTGACGGTTAATTTTAAGGGTGCCCCCATACTTGACGTTTGAATATTTGTCTATAATGCAGTTTGGATGAAATGATTGATCACAATTATTACAATGATAGATCCAATAGTTGGGGTTTATTTCGTTCTCACACATTTCACAATGGAACTCATCAGGATGTTCACTGAATGGAGGATAGGATAGTATGAGGGGATGTTTGTCCCATCTATGCGTAATGGTATTGGGAAATAGGGCACAGCTATGCGCAAGATTGAACTTGCATGCTTCACATCCATAGCCGTTTGTAGAGAAGGTATTATCACATGCCTTGCAGAGATGTTTTGAACCTTTCACTTGAACCAATGGATGCTTGTGAGCTTGATGTGCAATCGAAGTAGGTAGGAAAGCACATTTGACATCAAGGAAGAATTCACATGTTTCACATGTGTAGAAGAATCCATTGGTGTATACGCGGCAAGCATAGCACCAGAAGGTCTTGTAGAATTCTGTATACCTACAAAGTTTCATTGGGTGTTCATGGTGAATTGGGTGCTGCAATTCTGGTGATAAGTTGACGCAACTTAAATGGAGAAAATAGTTGCATTCACCACAACGGTAAAACGGAAATGATATAGGTTGGACGCAACCATCACATAATATAATTTCATCCTTGATATCATCGTCCGTTTGCACATCAAAAAGGATTAGTGTATGCTCATGGCTCCAATTGATGAGCTCTGGCTCTTTCTCAATATCTTCAAGATTGATGTGTTTAGCAAAATGTCTAAATAGTTCTAAGGAACCATCGGTCACTGGTAAATATAGCAGATTAGGGTCGATTGATTGATCAACTTCATTCTCATTTTCACCACCTCTGAAACCACAAATTCCAAACAAAATATTTACTTAACAATGAGAAAATCACTTCAAATATTTTAGTAAAAAGAGTGACAAAGTCTAACAAGACACAATTAGTAAACTCACCTGAAAGACTCTGGAGTCATAATTGAACATCTCACGTGGATAAAATATCTACACAGGGCACAACAATAAGCCCAACCATCCCTGGGAATGAAGAGACCACAAATACAACAATCTTGGTCGAAATTGATGAACTCAGAATACTTGTAAATGAAGGTGAGAGAGTGATCGTGATAATTACGTTTGATGATTCTAGGTAACAAAAGACAACTCTTATGAACCAAGAATTGACAAGTCAAACATATAAAGGACATGTCTTCACTTTTTATGCGACAAACATCACAAATGAAAGAGGTTCGCCTAAGTATAGGTGTTAAAGGGTGTTCATGAAGTTCATGTGTAATCTCACGTTGCACTTGATGTGTAATCTCACGTTCCGGAATAAAACATGACATGCAAATATTAAACTTGCAAAGAGAACAAAAGTAGTTGAATCGATCTCTCGTTTCTCCACAAACATCACAAATATACTCACCACTACTAAAAGGCGAACTTGGATGGAGGGTTAGAAGGTGTTTAGAGTGTGTGTAGTTTTTAACCTCCCGGGGAAGTTTCGCACAACTTTTATGTAGAAAGTAAGAACAGGCTCCACAATTATATGCAGAGTCTAATATCACTTTCTCACACGCATAACAAAAACATTTGTCACCTTCACCCTCCATTTGCACTTCTTTGAGGATCAATGGATGCTCATGACTGAAATGTTGAAGCTCCATCTGTATGTCTTGGTGGGAAAGTGATCACGAGGAGGTGCGAGAGTGGTAGGTTTTCGACGCTGCAAAAACGAGGTATATACTTAGTACAAATTGAATGTAAATGAACTGAATAGATGCTTATATTAACTTCATTGTTGGTTTGGTTATTATTATAATAAAGATTCCTTGAATAATACAAATCAAAGGGTTTGGTCAAGAAAAGGCCTGCCCTACAATTTGATATAACTACTCTTTTCTTATTAGTTGCTTCTGCCCAAGTCATTGCGCAAATGCAGATGAATTCTTCATCTACGACTATAAGCCATTTGCCATAATTATTTCATATGCCAGTTGTATATGTTCTTTTCATGACTAGGTTGAGTTGACTGTTAATTATATAAGTCTTGTTTTTTGAGGTGAGATCTAGATATATATGTATATATATAAAGTAGTAAAATCATAAAAACTCTGTATTGAAACCTTTAGTACATACCTTTTATGTAGACCGTTGCATTACTACAGAGTACGGTACAGAGTTTTTATTATTACAATACTTAATAAAATATATTATATTAGTGAACTCTCTAACTCTGGTTTAATGAAATCAACCACTTCTAAAGTTTACTATACTCTGAAATAGTTATAGTTTCTTTTATATTTTATAGCTGATGATAGCGAGACATTCATACTGTTCATAAGGATTACAAAACTCTCAACTCAACTGTCATTTTAATTTTTAATGTCATACCAATTGGTTTTAACTATTCTCATTTTAGTTGTTGTTTTTTCCAAGTTGTTGTGTTTTCCACATGAAGATGAGTTGTCGAGTATTGTTGGCCACTTGCCATTTTTTTTTTCGGGCTTATCTCTGACCCAGTTTGAACAGTGTGTTGTAACCTACTTACATGGGTTAATACTAATCCACCCGAGGGTGGGTTAAAAACCCAATTAATGGGATATATTGTCTAATTACTATAATATCCCTTTTTACAATTTAACCCTATCACTATGGCTAGGGTCAAATGATATTGCGATATTTATTGTCTCATGCTGTTTTTTTTTTTTTTTTTCCAGTTAAGCGTGATAACTCCATAAAAGTACTTGTATTAGAATAGTAAAACATCAAAATAAAAATAACAAAATTTGATATTAAAATAATTGTTGGGTGATTGTAAAAAGGAGTGTCTTACTAATTGAGACCGTCCTATCTAAATATCCTGACCACCTGTTCTAGAAAAACCTAACAACGGGAATATAAAAAATGGAGGTGGGTCCTAAGGCCTAACCCCTATGTAGCTGTCGCGGTGCAAATGGACAAGAAATAATTATAAACCAAATCGTTCGGAGTTTAAATCATGATAATTTTTTTAAGTTAAATCATGAATAATTTATCTCTCATGAATATTCTAATATTGACGTGGATGATTTTGCTTTTGATCATACAAAAAAGACATTAATCGAGATATACGTAAACTGATTCAAACACCTTTGACAATCAAACCAGAAAAAAAAAAAATGAGGGTGGGCGCTAGCCCTTTTGTAACTCCAATTGTAGTTATAGTGAAGGACCAGAACTTTAGATTTTTTTAATTATTTATATTTTAACGTCTAAATTAAACAATTGAGTACAACAATTAAATTTAATATTAATATAATGGTTAGGTGAGTGAAGAAAGGGTCATCAATAATAGTTTGGTGAGTACACGTCTAAATTGAACAATTGAAAAAAATAATTAAATTAGATATTAATATAATGGTTGGGCGAGTGAAGAAAGGATCTTCAATAATGGGTTTGGTGAGGGAAGAGAGGGTTGTTTTCACTGGTTTTTTTTAGTATATATTGACTATACCGACTTTTCCTGAGTCTTTTTTTAGTATATATTGAAGAAAAGATTATTTTCACTGGTCTTTTTTAAATATATATTGACTATACTAACTTTCACGGGTCTTTTTTTAATATATATTGAAGAAAGGATTATTTTTTATATTATAATTCACTATACTGACTTTCATTGGTCTTTTTTTAGTATATATTAAAGAAAAGATTATTTTCACTGGTCTTTTTTAAATATATATTGACTATACTAACTTTCACTGGTCTTTTTTTAGTATATATTGAAGAAAGGATTATTTTCGCTAGTCTTTTTTTAGAGTATATTGACTATGGTGGGCCCTGGCCCTAATGTACCTCCCCGGTGGGCGGTGGCCATAGCGAGTGACAATGAAAACTTTTGCTTTTTCTAAATTATTATATTTTGATGCCTACATCGGATCCGGCTCCTCTGCTGTTCGGGAGGAACAGCAGCCCCTGCTATTCTTAAAACGACACCGTTTGGGGCCTCTTTTTGGAAAACCAATCAGACCCAAAAATAAGGGCCGGACCACATAGATAGATCATCATCATGGGTTGTTTATTTGGGGCAGAACGCCAGTATGTTCCGTACAAAACAAATTTTTTAGAAAATATTTTTAGTTTATTATATATTTAAAGACACACTGACAACCACTTTTATTAAACCACCATTTATAATAAAAATAAATTATCTAAAATACTAAAATTGTCCCCTATATAAATTTTAAACAATCTTTCTATATAAAATTATATTAAAATTTAAATCGATTAAAATTTATTTTTTTACATATTAAAATTTGTACGGAACATACTAGTGTTATGTCCGAAATAAACAACCCATGATGATGATCTATCTATGTGGTTCGGCCCTTGTTTTTGGGTCTGATTGGTTTTCCAAAAAAAGGAGCCGGATCCTGCCTGCCTACGTCAAACAATCGAATAAAGTAATGGTTAAGTGATTGAAGAAGAAAAGACTATCTTACAAATTGATATATTTCACCAGTATTTTCTTAGTATATTTGTATAATAAAGTAATTTATAATTTAAATTGTAAAAGATAAATAAAATGATATTTACTTTTCATAGTTCAGATCGTTTTAAATTTTACTTTAAAGTTAATCTACCGGCTAATATTAATACTCTAAATTTAATAGAAAAAATAGGCTTCTAGAGATGTGTTTGGAGTGATTTTTTAAAAATACTTCTATGAATTATTTCTCATCAGTACTTTAAAAAAAATAGTGTTTAAAACCGTCTCACCACCCCCACCCCCACCACCACCGTCGATGTCGTCATCATCGCCGCCACCACTACCATTGCCGTTACTGTCACCACCGTCATCGTCGTCGTCACCCCCACCCCCACCACCATCGTCATTGTCGCCACTGCCACCACTGTCGTCGTCGTCGCCGTCGCTGCCACCACCACCACCATCGCCACCACCAACACTGTCGCTACTGCCGTCACCACCCCTACCCCCACCACCACCTTTCTATCATCGTCATAGTCGTCGCCACCACCACCGCCATCACCACCACCACCACCATCACCACCGTTGTCGTTGTCGTCGCCGCCGCCGCCACCACCACCACCATCAGCGTCGTCGTCGCTACCACCACCACCGTCGCCGCCGTCGCCGCCACCCTACCACCACCGTCGCCGCCACCACGATTATTGTCACTCATCGCAAACATTACTGTCTCCTATCATCACCACTGCCGCCCACTACCTCTCACAACCACTGTTGTCCACCACCTCTCACCTCTTATCTCCACTATAATTTATGTTTAAATTTTTTTATCTCTGCTCTATGTTTATGATTTGATTTTGGACATAAATACAAGTATGTTTATTGTTTACCATTTTTATTACTTTATACCTTCAGACACAGATAATAACTAATACATTTATATTTGCATAACTCATATCAAAAGGCATGATACAACATAAAATTTATATGTTCAAAAAGTTGATTTCATAATTTTTGATAAATTTAATTTTTTTTAATTATCTAATTTTTATTTTTTTGTATTAAATCAAGTTTAAAGGCACGAACAATTTCTAGTATATATTTATACTAATAAGATAAAATTGATTTTGAATCATTAAGTTAGCCTATCACGAGAGTGACTGAGATTCATTCAACCCGATGGATAAAATTCCCCCCCACCCCCCGGCAGTCGGTGCCCCACTTGAAAACCCCCAATAAATTCATATTTTTTCACGTTAAAAAAGGCTACTAAGTATTCTTTCTCCAATATCTTTTTTCTCTCTCTATTAGGGATACTGAATAATTTATTTTTTGATTGTATGATTTCTAAAGAAGACTTGCTAAAATTTAGTCTTAATTTTTTAAATATATTATTTTTTTATTTTTTTTTGGTATTAAACCGTGCCTAAAAGCTCATGCCATTTCTAGTATACATATATAATTGAAGGTGGGCTCCCATGTGGAGCTCCCACGGTAGACATCGTGAAGGTGAAAGGAAACTTTAGGTTTTCTCGATGAGTAATGTTTTTAGGATCTGAACAAATTGATTGAACTTGTTGATTTAATGATGTAATAGTGATATAGTCCAATAATATTGTTATGGATTTAACTGTTGGACGTCTATATTAAGACTATCACTTTATACATTATCATGTCAATTTTTTAGACTATCATTTCTCTTTCTAAACTATTATATTTTGACATCTAATTCAAACAATTGAATAAAATAACTAAATTTGATATTAAAATAATAGTTAAGTGAGTGAAGAAAGGATTATCTTACCAATTGATAATTTCACTAGTCTTTTCTTACTAGCTTTTCTTTTTTTACTAGCCTATATTTTTTATGCATACAAGTGCATTTTTATCTAATATTAGGGGTAGCCTGTGCTTGAAGGTGGTATTTTTCACAGACGGGAGTTGTTATTTGGTGGTATACAGGAATGATAATTGCTAACAATTCGCCAATTCAATACAAAGTTAACACGAAATTAATTTATACACGGGTTGATCCATCAAAGATATTTATGAAATATGTTGAGACATATTTAATTAAATTTGATACGAATTTGACTAAATACAACTTTATCACGATATGAATTTGATGTAACACAAATTGGCTAATCACAATTATAAATTGATCGATTATGAAACGAATGAATTTTGATATGATAGAAG